GGTTAGGGCTAGGGTTAGGGGGTTAGGGTTAGGGCTACCACTCAGTTGACCCATTTATCCCCTCCACCAATCAAATCTGATCACGTGATTTCTCTCAGCCAATCAGAATCCTCCCCTATCTAGGCTGCTTATACTACTGCTATTTTTTTCTTAAATGCCTGTATTTCTCACAAAAATCACGCATTTTAATATTATTGCACTTTGAGGCATTTCTTCATTACGTCAAAACAGAAGTGACGCATCTCATGAATACTTACGAGATTAAGTCAAAAACTGATCATGCGACTACATTAATTTTCTAAACAACACGAGATGGATATTAATTCGTAAACAAGTACACTGTACGTACACTGTACGTTATTTTACGAAATCTTTTAATTCTCATTAAAGAAATTGTGTTTAAAAAAAAGTTTGTTAAACCAAAAATTTGGGATCAAATTTGCAATTTGTGGCTTCCTTTTCGATTTTGTCGATCACTCACGCGATCGTCTATATACTGTACACCACCTTCGGCGGCACCTATTTTAGCGCCATATTTATAAGGACCGTTATTCTAGAAGTGTTCCCTGATTTGTATCGAAACGATATATTGTTACGATAAAATTTTGCCGTATTCTGTATGTAATGCAAAACAGACCATGCACGATTTTAAAAACATTGTTTTTTTTTCGAATAATTATTGTAAATGTAATAATTTTACTCAAGAACGAACTTTTGATTAAGCGGTCATTTTAAGCGGTCATTAAAAATAACCGGGTCATTATATCCCACGTGCAATGATTCCTAGGTCTGTATTGCTGTAAACAGTACCATTTGGAGTCATTGTTGTGTTTAATGTTTTCTTACCAGCCAATCAAACTCGAGTATTATTAATAGAGATATAATAATCTTCCTTAAGTTACCAGCGCAATATTAGAATAAACGCAGTATACTAACAAACTAAAATAAAGACATTTTTAATCATAAATCAATTAAAGCTAAGTAATTGTACATACAATTTTAATTTTATTTTGCAACATCTTCCGTAGTAAACAATGTGCAATTCGACTATCAAATTTCTTACAGAAATTCAATTCAACGCAGCACAGTTAAGGTTACACATGGGAATATCGGCACTTTTTAAGGAAAAAAAAATATTTTTTACATGCTATATTAGGATGGATGATATTTTAGGGCTTCACTGGTATCCAAAAATTATTATGTAGTTTAAATTAACATGTTGTGGACATTTATATTTTTTATTTAAACTTATCATGTGATGTCAACGTCAAATGATTTTAACAATTATACTTGCAGTTTAGAGGTCATCTATAAATTCCTAAATTGCAAGGGCATAACCAATTCAAAAATCTTAGTTTAATTTAAAATCTTTTAAAAAACTATATGTAGTTTGTGAAAATTGCTGCGAACCTATATAGATTCCCTTCTTTATTGCTAAAATTTAATTTGTTGAAAGGTGGATTGAATATTTTGCTGGTCAGCCACATTAAATAAAGCTATAATTAATTTATTTGAAAGAGTTCATGATGTTCGCAGCACATTTCAAATATCTTAATGTTTCTTAAGTTTATGTATAAAAGCTTGTCAAGATACATTGAGGGAATGCCCTGGCAATAAATAGATTTTTTAGGACCCTTCTATTACTTTTTCAATTGATCTGCATACAAACAAACGACAGCATCACCTGTCTGGAGAATGTACGGAAAGTTAATCAATAAAATACTAAAAAAAAAGACATCGCATCCAAGTTAACGGCCTTTTTGTTTAATTAAAATAATGATTTTTATGTGAGAACAAAAGACATTTTTCTATTGTACAAAATGTAATTTGACCAGTCTCTCGCTGTGTACAAACTGCGTCATTTTTCGCGGTGACGTCACATTGACAAGTGCATTGCAATCGATGCATCGTTTATAAACTGTTGCACGTAATACTGCACGTAATAGTAAGTTTGTAAGTTGTTTGAAATAGCACATGATTATTTTATTTTGTGGAATTTTTATATTAAGTGTGACGTTATAGTAAACCTCGTTACTTTAACCTTAACTGTGCTTCGTCCCATTTTGCATTAATTCATCGTTTTAGAAGATCAGGTTTTGCAGGAAAATGATAGAGTGGCGATAATCCTATGTGTAAAAAAAATGGTACAAGTTTTGTCACAGATGCAATGGTTCTCTTGAATATATTTCATACTACATAAATCTACATTATGGTTATCTATTACCAGAAGAAATAGCATTCTTAGAGTATTGTGTTAGCAACAAGTCCCTCATCAGGATCCTTTTTCACATTTTGATGTCATATTAAATAACCTGTATGAAAAGGTGCCCCTAAAAATTTGAATATTTTAGTAAACACTCGCTATTGAATGAAATAGCACAAAAACATCCTTAAAGTCCATAGTCATACATACATGCTTTGAAAATATTCCAAACAGCCCGTTTCACATGGTTTTAAAACAATTGTATGGAAAACAATAATCATACTTGATTTATGATTTGTCAATCAGTCAGATTATTATAATTGTTTTCAGGAAAAGCCCTCACCATATAGTTATAATTCCTCCCTTTCATTTGGAATATAGTAGGAAATTGCTGGATGAGAATCGCACTAAAACGATTTATTTATAAAATAAAATGATTTGCAATCGAAATAATTACCAAATTAATTAAGCATTTGTCAAAGATAATATATTCTTTTAACCTAAAACATAAATTCAAAGAAACACGAAATTTTCATACAGTTTCTCAACATAAACTTTTTTTTGCAATTTAAAAACCATGTTGACAGTCGGAACTAGCAATTAGCTAGAGTTTTATCTCATTATTTTCCTTTTCTATATATAACGTCAATATTCCTAAACACAGAACGCATTTTTGCGTTGAACGGGGTCCAGATCGTGTTTGGACCATTACTTTAGCGCAGAACGAACCCCATATTAAACCATACTTTGGAAGAATAAAATGCTATAATTCTAGCTGTCAAAAATCAAACCTGATCTGTAACTTATCATGACACATTCACATACCGAAAAGTAGCTACATATTTTCAGGCAGCCATTAGGAAAAAATTGCAGAAAAACATATAGGACAGACTGATAGACGGACAGACGGACGACAGATTCTGAGGAAACCTGTTGTTCCATCTGGTTTCACTGGAAGAGGACTAATAAGTTATAACCTTCTCTTTTCCACTTGTTCATATTTCCTCAGTCTTCTTTTACTTGTTATCTGCATCTAAAAAACATAACCCTTTATATGAATATTTGATTGGACAAACCATCGTCACATTTTATAAATGTTGAAGAAACGAACATTTCATTGACGTTTATTGATTCTTTTTCAAAGCAATAATAGAAACAAAGTAAATCATGGAGACATCTTATCGAATATTTGTACGGCACAGTAGACAAAACAAGGCTTTGAGTTTGATGTTTTCGATAAGAACTTAAGAGAAAAAACTGAATAAGAAATTTTTAAAAAGTAAATGCTAGGGTGGCAAGGATTGATTCCAGACTTCATGATCAAGATTTTGGAACATTGCTCAGGTTAATTATATCTTTTAAATTTTTTTTTCTCAATGGCATCTCATCGGTTAAAATCAGATATTTCTGCTTGGTTTTTGCCTTTTCCTTGATATAAGTCAGCAAATTTTCCAATTTTTCAAATTAAGCAAAGAAAATGGATCCTATCTGGCAAAGGAAAATATATATGCTGCCACAACGCAGTTTTGAAGTTTTATTTTTCTTTGTTTAATTAAGACCATTAAAAAATGTGGGACCTGAAATTGATTTTATGAATCAAACTTTAACGAAAAACGTTCAAGATAAATATATTTATTTCAAAAACTCATAGACATTCATTCCACGCTTCATAAAATGATCAATAAAGTGAAAGCTACATTAAAATTAAATCAATTGTACATGTACACTGCTTAACAAATTAAGACAATTTTTATTCTATTCATCACAAAAGAATCAAAACACCATTGGCCCCTTATACATGTTATATGAGCTAGCTATTGCCACACTTTGCTTTTAATGCCAAACACTTGTAAGACGTACTATCGAATTGGACCATAACTGAAATGTGTTCTTAAAACTTACATATTTCTTAAAGATGGAAGATTGAAGTCACTGTATTTTTTGTTTTTTTTTATCTTTTTAGACAGTTCTGGTTTTATTGGTCGAATAAAATTTAAGAAATTTAAAATTCAAAAATGAATAGATTAGATTGATAATCTTGAAAAATCATTATCTTGTACGAAAATTAGATCCATGAAAAATTATCTCACATGCCTTGAAAAGTATTTCAACCAATGATATATTTGAAAATTTTCATGTCATGTGATTCCTACCAACCACGAAAACAACCATGATACAACCGTAACACTTCTTATTATCCGAAACCAAAGAATATAAGAAAAAAGCTCTTGTATAGTAGTCAAGAGCCTTCCATTATTAACTTAGCTCCCATCAGACTTCTCACAAATATATTGAGTCTTATCAGAACATGTTCCGTCATTCCATTCGCCATTCATGAGTAGTTGGATACAGTCTTCCTTGTCTGGAGTGTAAGGTTCAATATCAAACCAGTTGGTGAAGTTAATAGACTTGTTAGAGTGGCTCCACTGGTATCTACCTTCTACTGTTAAATCATTACCACCAGTCCAAGCATGGCAACTAAGGTATATATCTGAAGGACAAGTGTCTGAAATGTATAATCAATGCAAAATAATTTTTTACAAATTTGGCCATAATAAAGTTTAACCAAAGTTCAACATTCCATCTAAGTCTTACATTGTATGTATGATATAAATGAATCGGCTTTGATGAAAGGTTTTGGAAAACGCTTTTCAAAGGGCTTTCATCTGTAGCTCTCTGCTTAATCTTTCCTTATTTTCTCATTCAGTTTTGAAAGCTATTTTGGAAGTACCTTGAAATATGAATATATTAATTGTTCGGTACAATTTAGAAATTTATTTCAAAATCAAGGATCCCCCCTCAAGTATAGCCCTGTTCCTTCGATGTACTAGGCTTTTGGTAATCTCTTTTCAGCACTCAATGTTCTTCCTTTTTAAATATTACAAATATCCAAAAGTTTCGATATGATCATCATTAAAGATGCATACTTTGTTGATATGTACATTTGGAGTATCAAATTTGGTAACGGACAGGATTCGCATTCTTCAGAAAGCTTTGAATTTACCTTTAAAAAGAAAAGTCTGGGCCAGCCAATCAGATTCTTCCTTAGTTTCTATTTCTACCAGATAGGAACAGCTGCCTTCACATTCAGACTGGAAATGAAAGTTGTTTTTAATAGATGATTAATTGATAAATTGATTGCATATTTTAAAAGTCTCTTTCGCAAATGTTTCACTCAAATAGAGACGTCACCGTATGATGATGAAGGGCTTTAAACGAAAAACCAGAGACTTTCACTTCTAATTCTAAGTGCTTGGCGAAGGAACAGTTACTGCAGTTACTCTTTGACAATAATATGGCATATGACGAGTGGAAACTCGGACAGTATTGTAGTATTTATCCTCGCTATTTTACAATACTGTGAGAGATGACAACAGAAAATTTTAACGGTTTATAGTAGTATTTATCATTTTGCGTAAGAGGGCTGTGAGTTTATTATAAGTTTATTATTTGTTTTGTTGTTGTTGTTGTTGTTGTTGTTGTTGTTTAAGTTTAATGTGACTATTATTAGTTTGTCTGTTTGTTCCTTATTTAATGTGCCGGTTACTCTCGAGAAAGTTTCACTAATATGGCATCGCATCAAATTGCTGATAGAGAGCTGCAGATTTATAAGTCTATTATGACATAGGGCCAATGATGGATCTTTTTTCGAGCCACAACCTACTGCTTCACGGGGCCTCGGTTAATAAGGTGTCCTCCGAACGATCTACCTCAATGATTAATATTTTTAGCCTAAATCTACTGCGATATGGGACCTCAGTTAGTAAGGTCTCATCCTAACGACCTACATCCTCGCACCACTTACTGCGACACGGGACCTCGGTAAATAAGGTCTCATCAGAAGGGCGTACCTCCACGCACCACCTACTGCCACACGGGACCTCAGTAAATAAGGTCTCATCAAATGGACATACCCCCACGCACCACCTACTGCCACACGGGACCTCGGTAAATAAGGTCTCATCAGAGGGACATACCCCCACGCACCACCTACTGCCACACGGGACCTCGGTAAATAAGGTCTCATCAGAGGGACATACCCCCACGCACCACCTACTGCCCCACGGGACCTCGGTTGAAAAGGTGTCATCAGAGGGACATAAGTCCACGCACCAATTACTGCGACACGGGACCTCGGTTAATAAGTTCTCATCAGAATGACGTACCTCCACGCACCCCCTACTGCCACACGGAATCTCGGTTAATAAGGTCTCATCAGAGGGACATAAGTCCACGCACCAATTACTGCGACACGGGACCTCGGTTAATAAGTTCTCATCAGAATGACGTACCTCCACGCACCCCCTACTGCCACACGGAATCTTGGTTAATAAGGTCTCATCAGAGGGACATACGTCAACGCACCAACTACTGCGACACGGGACCTCGGGAAATAAGGTCTTATCAGAAGGACCTATCTTCTCGTCCTGCGACTGTATAACAGAAATTAATCTCTATAGCGACTCGAGCAGCTTAGTTATTAGACATTTTTTGTCAATATTACTACATCGTTAATACCCATTAATATGTACAGTTTCAGGTCTTTTTACCTTTATAATATTTACAGTATAACGTCTTTTTACCTTTACAATATTTACAGTATAACGTCTTTTTACATTTACAATATTAACAGTATGTTAACAGCAAATTATGCATATTGTCCTTATTCACATATTGAATTAAAACCTCTCTTAAAAATAGAATTGGAGCAAAAGACCCTGCAAATTAATACATGTCTTAAATCTGAATATTTATTTGTAAGCCTTTTTTTAGTTTATTGTTTCCAATGATGTTTTACCTTTGCTTCCATCCAAGTGACCTCGGATTCGCCAAAAAAGTAACAATGAGTCTCATATTGCAACCATCCTGGCTCACAACCTGTTAATTATTAGTTTTATAATAAAATTCTCATTTATATACAGACGATCGATTGCAACATTGCAAAAAATATTATTTCTTATGTATGTGGTTTATACAACTTTCTTTAAAGATGATACCAAACCGTTTATGCCAATTATAAGCAGAAAATATACATTTATTAATATCTATATTATTTGTTGAGCAATAAAACGCTTAGGCTAAAATACTTATTTAGAAATCTTTAATGCGGATGGCTTATTGAGAGAGAAGCTCCAACTCTTTAAGACGATGATGGACATATCTTCTACATCTTTCTACATAAAAAAATTCCAATCAATTTGTGTAAAATATAGACTTATAAATAATTATCATTATAAAAGCTATATTAAATCATATATCTACACCTTAACTTGGGCTGCTAATTTAACAATTAAGGAGGCTAATTTGTCAGTTTGCAATACAGGGAATTCTAAATAAAAACTACCAAGGAGCGTTGATAAATTTTAAACAACCAAATATACATTTTCTGTATAAGATAAATCAATATTTTAATCTAATTATTTTTTCTTTGTGGTTTTACTATAAAGTTAATTTTAAAAAATTAAAGATTCATAAGCGATAATAAAGAAGTAAAATTCTGAACAGTTTTTTACAATTACGTTTTGTCTATGATTCTTAACATTAATTTTTAAATCATTTGAATTTTTTTTCTAAAATACATATCAATTTGTACATCCTTTTTTGTATAATGGGTTCTTAAACATGTTTTTCTTTCATGTCAGATATATCTCTCAGAAGAAGGATATGGAGAAAACGAACAGTATTCAATCTCAAAGTCCATAAAACAATACAAAATTAGAGCAGAGCAGACATTTTACGCGGTGAAGATATTAAGTTGCTGATTTAGCTCTGGAATGTTCTTTACTTGTTTCTTGTCTCACAATTAGTAAAAAATTCAAAGATTTGGATTGGGTTAATTTTGGAATGAACGTCTGTAAGTCAGATTTGGTGTGTTTGTCTGTTTACAAAACGTTTATGTCTGTTCATCTCTGTCTACCTGTCTGTCTGTATGCCTGTTCAACAAGTCTTGGCCTGGGGGAGATAAAACTTAGACGAGCTCACTTTTGATCTCGGTGAGCTCGTGTAAGTTTGAAACCCTCACAGATTACGTCAGAGGATTTGCTAATTAATGCTCAAACGCAATGGGGAAAAATATCTAATAAAAAAAAATACTGTAAACCAAACTTTACTTGCGTATGAGAAATGTTTGCGAAGTTCGCGAGAGCATCTTTATCGCGAATATTTCTCGCCGCGAACCCGTCCTTAAAGTTTATATGTCAATAAACAACATATCAAAAAATGACTTGATCGCGAAAATTAATCGTCGCAAAATAGTTTATCCCTGGTAAATCGCGAATTAAAGTCGTAGCAAATAAAAGTTGGTTTACAGTTATTAAATAATTTCGTTGTTACCTTTTGCAGTGATATAAAATTTCCAACCTTCTTCAGGAGAAACAGATCCTAGAGACTGTGAACCAATCATATCACCCAGCACCTTACATGATCGTATTCTACTGCTATGTAAAATGGCCGAACATGTACATCCGAACGTGAGACATTTTCTTGCGCATGATTGCAGATCGAGGTCCGAAATTTCTTCTCTGATGAAGGGGGGTTTTGTGATGATAGCATTATTGAAGTCTATGACTCTTTCTAATTTCTTAACGCAGTAACCAGAAGGAGGACATGGTATTATTCCCATTAAGCTTGACAAATAAGGTATTAAGAAAACTATGTTCAAAGACCTCATTCTGAGTATATCCAAAAACTACAGTGACACGCCGTATACAGGGCTCTTATCCTGATCAAAAAGTGGACTCTTAAGTGACACTGAAAGAAACAATTTACTTGTAAACTACATGTATATCTTTCCGATCCTTTAAATTAAATCTTAATTTTCAGAGTAGCTGAAATATTTATTAAAAATTCAGTCAGTTGTAAACTCTTAATGAAAATTAAAAGGAATAATAAGCCGAACACCGAGTGTGCTGATCCGTTGAAAATATGTTTTATTTCTTAGAGCAGATGAAATATTAATAACAATCCTATTAAAGACTCAATACAATGACGATTTAATGTGATAAGGATTGACATAATTTCAATGTTTACTGTTGTTTATACAATGTTTAACATTATATTCATTATTATAATTTTTTATTAGCTCCTTTTTTTGAGACGGCTAAAACATATCAAAAATTTTTACATTTCAAATAAGATGAATTATATTTCCACATGAAAAAAGAATTCAAAGCTCTCTCTCTCATGTATTTTTATAAAGACGTGTATTTCATACATATTTCATATGTGATAACATATAACAATTACAATTTGCTTGATAAAAATGTAATTTTTGATAATATTGGTACATCTTTAGCTACATGTATACACATCATAGTATAAGAAATCTCAAAAAAATAAATCGATACTATTTTAATTAATATTCCTTAGTTAAGAAGACTCGGCATAGATACATAATTCTAGATTCGTTACAGATATGGGATTCTGAATTAAGTAGACTTTATACTATGTAGCCTTAAATTAAGAAGTATATGATATTGTATTCATGAACACGGCAATACAAGGAAATGTCACGTGAATTGGTTCAGTAAGATGGAGGAAATTACAATATTTGACATCAATTTGAATTTAATTTCTGATGAGAAGGGAATACGTTGCATCTCATTCACGATATAGTCGCCCGTTTGACGCTGTGGTACGAGCGTCTGCTCAGAAGTCGCAAAGTAATGACTTTATCCTTGCGTTTGGTTCGAATCTCACTGTTGGACGTGGATACTGGTAATTTATGCAAAGGAAAATAAAAAAATAAACTATCAATCATTTATTAAGTGAAAATCATATAGAAAATATATGAAACTACATGTACTTCAACTTTTTGCTGTTCGATTTTCAAAACTAACATTTAAATTGTATTTTATTGTGATTTATTTATCGTTTACGGTTCCCCCCCCCCCCCCCCCCCCCCTCCCAAAGTAATGCATTAATTTTCAAGCGCATTGAGAATTCATGGGAAAACCTTATAGAGTAATTTTCAGTCATATACAAATAAAAAAAATTTAACATAATTTTAGTAAATAATTATTTTTGTCTTTTTTTCAGACAAGAAAGAAAATTAAGGCAGGCGAAGTGACTATTGTGCAACAGATTTTTTAATCTCAATAAAATCTAAATTCTATTTGATATTTCATCTAATGTTTAAGTATTTTTTATGTAAAATCTCTACAATTCACAAAAATCTCACAAAACAGAAAACTTTCAAAAAAAAAGCTTACATATATTTTCTCGACTTTAACAAAATTATTCAATAGGAGTGGGTCTTCGCTCTACTTTTTTGACAGATGATCCTAAAAGTGTGCAATAAAATACGTATTTTTGTTTACAAATTATGGGAATACGAAAACCCACTATACCTTAAAAGTACACTTTTATGACACAGCATTGCATTTTCCTTGAAGTCGCTGGTCATATCACAAACATGATTTTACCCAAAAACACCTTGAGCGATGTAGCATAGTGGTTAACGGGTTAGTCTCAAAGCAATTTGCTATTAATACGTCGGATTTTTAATGGTTAATTCACGAATACCAGTGTTTATTTTATGGAAGATTTTTTTCGACATTTTTTTTCTCTCTCAGAAAAGTTTTTCTCTCATAATTTCAAAAATTTCAATAATTATAAGTTAATTAAAGAACTCAACTAACATATTGAATATGATTTCTATATATAGGATGCAAATTTTGCAGCTGTCTTCTTACAGAGGCTAAGTGTTTTGTATTGGCGTCTGTTCTAATTTATTTTGTTTTGTTTGCTTTAAAAGTGAAAAATTGTCATAAAGGTATTAAAATATACGTTAAACAAACAAAAAACAATCAAATATATAAATCATTTACTCATTTATAAGCGAAATTATCATAAAAAAATATAAAATCTTATGCAGTTACTGTGTGTATATCAGTAATATACAAATTGAATAAAAATATCAACATAATTAACTAGTAGATAATAATTCAATTTGTCTTGTAGACTTGTTAATCTTTAGTCATACAATTGAGAAATTACAGAGGGTATCAGGGGTAATGATTAATAACACCATTGATTTATCATTAATACGTTAGTACATTTGAAAACGATTTTCACCATCGTAGACAATCATGATTATGATGAAGAAGAATTTTAAGATAAGTTTGAACTATTTTAAATACTCTGAATCATTATTAGACATGTAATTTAAGGCTTTTGACGTGTAATAATGAAAGAAGTAAAAATGAACTTATCTAGTGTGTGCAAAAAAGTTTGGGGATTAATTCCATTTACATACTTGTCTTTCATGTCCTTCTGATGTCTAAGAAATAAATTCATTTCTTAAATACCCAATTACATGTACTTTTTGTGAAAAAAACAATTTTTTTTTGAATTTTATAACACTAATACATACGTATTTTGAAAAAGAAATTGCTAGAAATTTATAAAAAGCAGGTATTTGTTCATAAACTTCTACATATGAAGGACTGAAACATATGGAGATGATGAATTAATATCCAAGATCAAAAGTCCATAAAACAATACAAATCAGAAGCATGTGCAATGCGGGCCTCCAGAAAATCAGAGATGGGATCAGGTGCCATGGACGATTACGCACCCCCCTTCCGACCGGTCATAACCTCTGTATTCCTTGTCAAAATCATGAAATAACGGGAAAATATGTCGTCAATTCAGTGTAAAAATAATGGACTAACAATTGATATGAAAAAAGTCTGTCAGTAATTGACTCAAAAATCACTTGCTGTGTCCTTCAACTCGACATTTACCTATATCGACATATCATCAACTACATGTAACAATAGCTAATTCAATGCATTTGTCAATTCGTTATATCCCATTAATTGCCAATAGGAATTGAACAGCATTGTGTGATAATAAGAAAGGCCCCCCAGGGCCTAGACTTTAAAACTAGATCCAAATGATGTTTATTTACTTCTTATAATATACATAATGTTTGCTTTTTGCTTTTTGCGCTTGTCGCTAAGAGAATAATTACATTTCTCTTACCATCAGCAATCTTTTATGAAATCTGTGACAATTGTTATAATTGATATCTTTTACCATGCAACAATTAGTATGGTGTTGATGGAGTGCATTTCAATGATGATGGACGAAAAGCACTGGTGAAGGTAATGAAAGAACATCTCAACCAAAGACTAGGAATGAAACCCTATAAAGAGTACAATGCGCGCGTCAAAAAGACTGAAACAAACGCAAACCATTCAGGCAAAATCAGCCAAGAAAAGAATTATGGAAGTTACTGGCGTAAAAACAATAACACTCGTGGACAGCATTATAATCAAAATGGTGGATACATGCAAAATAGCCCTCACAACCATTGGTGAGGCCCTCAAAACCGTGGTCCACTACAGTATATAATGACTGGCACAAAAATCAGGGCGATTATCTTACAAATAAGCAAAAAACAGCTTAGCATTGTGTTTAATCAACGGTTGAAAATAATTGAGTAGAATTTTCATGGTTGAAAAAATTGATAAAACAAGCATGTTCCCTTAGATGAATCATGTAGTATGGAATTACTGTTGTTTCATTTAGAATTCTAAATAATACAGATTTGCCAGTAATTACTGAACCTCCATATTTTTGCTGTTAATGGTTTTTACATGTTTTTCGTATGACTTATTAATTTTTAACATAGGTTGTTGGAATATTCATGGCTTAAATATTTCTAAGTTAGATGATGTTACAAATCTGTGTTCAAGGCTTCATATCATGTTTTTCTTAGAAACTATGTCAAAGGAATCACCAGGAAATGTCCCTGGTTTTACGAGTTATGTCCAAGACACGATGTAGTTACGATATCGACACATTACTTTTTTATAGTTTTCTATTATATTTCTCTATTCTCATGTGTTTATTACAATACTTCCTGTTTTAAGACTATTTCCTTACTGTCAATATCCTCGACATCGTGCCGATATCGAATCATGGTTGTTTCAAGAATTGTGGTTTCAATCCTTAATAATGTGTAACAACTATTTCATAAAACTTTCTTAATAAATCTTTCCCTGAAGTGTCGATATCGTCGATATCGACGATATCGCTTCGATATCGAGTCATGTTTGCTCAGCCTATGGTAAATACCTTCCCTGTAACTTTCCTTTTCCGAAGATTGTACCTGCCTTCGATATCGTCGATATCGACGATATCGTATCGATATCGAACCATGATTGTTAAGAGCATATTACTTTACCATCCTTCACCCTAAATACAAAACTTTATTTTTTTCAACACTTCTGTGTTTAATAAATTTACCTTACTGTCGATATCGTCGATATCGGTTATATCGTATCGATATCGAATCATCATTGTTAAAATAATTTCAAGAGTTGTCACACTAACCCAACATCTTACTCTAAATCTAATCTAAAACAATAACAATCCTAATATGTTCCTAATCATTATTTATTTTCATATTCATGCCAATAATGAATCAATTTTGACTTCACTTGTGACTTTGTAAAATTATGTTATACCTCACTGTGAAAATAAATTGTGCAAATAGGATCGATATCGATACGATATCGTCATGATATTGTCGATATCGACGACATCGACATAATAGGGAGTCTCAAATATGGCACCAGATATTTCCAATTAATAGTCCTTAACACGATCGAT